GGGAAATAAAAATCAATTATATCTAATGTAACATCGGTAAACACTTAATTTAAAATCAAATGATTGATGGTATTGAATATAAAATATTAGAGGAAGTCAAGACAAGGAAGTCATTAATTCAATTACTGCTTGTACATAATTATAATAAAACAAAATGTGCGCCGGGTATAAGAAGAAATGGTTTTTATAAAATGTAAACTACAGAGTAAGAAGAAAGTTTCTAGTGAATTGAAATAAAAAAATTAGAGAATACCATGACGACATGAAAAAAATCAGTTCGTTACAGAAAATGTACTATTTAAATTAATCTCACAGGACAAACGGTTATTCAAACTTCCGAATTTTTGCTATATATTTTCACAAAAAACAAAATAGAAGTTCATGTTTAAAAATGGTAAATTTTTGTAGGAAAGTATCGATTTTGTAATTAGGCTCCGCCCCTCGGTCTGAACGAATGAAAAATTCATCAAAATTGAGCTTGGGATGGATATGGTTGGGGCTTAATTTTTGGCGTGTTTTTTTCTTATTATACATAGTATTCTTTGAACAACACGATACTTGAAAACATGTTTTTTTTTTCTTGTGGAGACAAGGATTTTGCAATTAAGCCCCCTTGCCTGACGACGAGTAAAAAATCATCACAATTGAGATAGGGCGGGTGGGCGGGCTTACATTTTGCTTTTTTATTTGATATGTGTAGACTTCTTTTCACAACATGAAACTTAAAACAATTTTAAAATGGTAAATTTGTATAGGGAAATATTGATTTTTCAATTACGCTCTGCCCCTCGGTCTGACAATGAATGAAAAATTCATCACGATTGAGATCGAGACGGATGGGTGGGGCTTCTTTTTTCGTTTTCGTTGTATAATACGATTATTTAAGAACATGTTTCACATGGTGATTTCTCGTAGAAAAATAAGGATTTTACAATTAAGCTCCGCCCCTCGGTTTAGGACGATTAAAAAAAAATCATTAGAATTCAGATGGGGTGGATAGGCGGGGCTTATTTTTGCCTTTTATTTCTTAGTATACAGTTCACAACAAGAAATGTAGAACGTGGTTAAGATGGTACATTTTTGCAAGGAAATATGGATTTTGGCGGAGCTTAATTGCAAAATCGATATTTTCCTATACAAATTTTTCATTTTAAACATGTTTTAAGTTTCATGTTATGAAAAGAAGTCTACACATCATATTAAAACAAAAAGGCAAAATGTACAATAAACATTTTACAATTTATCTTAGAAACTACAACGTTGGTGGCGTTGCAATTGTGCACACATTTTAGTGTTTTTGTAAATTTGGTAAATCGCTAATCAGAATTTTACTTTTATCCAAAAACTTGATGACGTCATCAAAAAATGTTGCGGACTAATTGTCACTTGAAACGACTACTTCTATTCCGATGTTTTTTAGAATACAGCGTGTCCCGAGAAAGTAAAACATCAAGCAATGGATTTTATTAATTAAATCAAAAATGGCTTAACATCATGTTCTTGAAATTCTGGGAACACGATACCGTTGTTACTAATGACTCTGTGCAAATTAATATATTTCGGGCTAATAAAAAGTTAACATAATCACAAAATGTGATTGATAAAATTTGGCTTGAAACATATGAATAGCTTGCTTGTTTACTTACAATTTAATAGTCCACTTACATTTTTACTTCTCTAGTGTAAGCTAAGGAAGTATTGTAATATAAATCTACCCTAATTTTGTTCATTATTATTATTATTTTTTTATTGTTTAAACCGTTTTCTTCTTTAGACACATAGTACGAACCTCCTTAAGCATCGCGAGAGTCCAGCGTTAACGTGTCTGCTTCGGACATGAGAGGTCTGGGGATGAAAGCTGGGGCGCATCTTTTTTAAATGATCAAATGAAGAACGGTTCATTCTATTGCTAAACTATTGATAATGACATAACAAAATTTTGTTCTGGAAAACTGTAATTTAAGAGTACAGACATAGCTTTATTGTAAATTATATGGGTTATCATTAAAAAATAGAATTTGCTAAATTTAGACTAATTTTTATTTGAACACTTCATAATAAGTATTATCAGAAATTAGAGATTATTCGCATAATCAATTTTATAATTTATCGAAAATATGGACCTTTTTAATTGTGCTCAGGGGTGAGGGATATTCTGTTTAAATAATTTTCGATCGATGTTTTTCCTTAGGTGTTGGATTTATATGTAAGAGCAAATTCAAATCTACGTACTGTTGGAGTAATTTTCAATCATTTTGTTGCACAATTAGATTACATATTCTTATTTTAAATTGTATTCTCCCGTTTATTGCATTAAAAAAATATGTTCTTTTTTTATTGTGTTAAAAACCTGCAGTGGTATTCTATAGTGTTTACACTTTCCAGCAATGAAATTTGTTTAGCAATGGACAATTCGGTTGATTAACACTAATTTTTATCACTTAAAAACGAATTCATCGCACTTAAAATTGATTACCGAAAAATGTATGCAACACATTCCGAACTTTATAATGCAGGTTCATTTCTTTTTTATCACATTTATTTGTTTGTATACCGTTCGAAATATTAAATCAGTTAACTAAGTAACTACACCTTGGTTAGTAACTTCAGGTTTTATTGGCAATGCATACAACTTTATCTTTGTTATTAGAAGTGCGCAGATACTTAGATATTTGGCCACAATACAATTAAAATCTTGCAGTGCTACATTGAATGTAAAATTTTCATAAACGTGCCAGCCTTGGTTAATTTATTACGTGGTGTAATATACATTATGATATTAAACAAAACAATGAATGTGAATATGGTTAAATTAAAATGTTTCTTATAAAATAATAGAGTCATAATTCGTGACAAGATATTGGCATATAAATACTGCCAAAAAAATTCTCACGACCTTGTAGATATTTTCTGATATTTATTCTAAATTTGTTGATTTTTCAAGGTTGCATTTAAATTAGTTGTAGCTCCTATTGACTATTTTAGGATAATAATTTAAAGCTTAGAAAACAGGCAGTGAATAACTACTTGCTTGTGCGCATCATTTGAAATAATAATCTGTTGGTGTACAAAAATAGGTAAATAAAGAATTCCTGGATAATAGTAATGAAGTGCTTAACGGTGTATGTAGGGAGTCGCATTGCGCCGTATTAAATTAGTTGAAGGTAAATACCATTTGAATGATAATAGCACTAAATTGAATTTAATTATAAAGAAAATTAGTGAAACAGTTCACACCTAACGAGCGCAATTAATTCTAATTGAGTTAATTATTTTGTATATGAATAATTAAGAAAGTGTTTTAACGCCATTTAAAGCGTTTTTTAACCATTATTTGTAAAAGAAGTGTTAACAGGAAATAACTTCATTAGTTTTCTATGCAATGTCTTTATTATTCAGTCCTCCATGCGATATTTAAGAATTTTTAACCCGTTCTCCATGCTCATTATTTGTTGTCTTTGTCTAGCAATAACAGTCGCGAGAGCGCGTTGATAAATAAGATCTCCATCTTAATGAAATTATTCTCAACGTAATTATAAAGATGCAGGCAGCGATAGAAATGAAGAAACAACACATTTCACCTTATTCGGATGGAATAAACACCTTTTTTCGAACCCTACTGCGCCAATTTGTGATCTCATTGTAGTCAAATTTCATATTTTTGTTATGTTCATTAAAATTTTTTTCAAAGCAGTGAAAATTAATACCACGACACTCTACCGACGGTCGACGTCCTTTCGACTATCTTTTCTAAGTGTGGACTTATTGCTCTAATTTTTTTTGTGTAGAAGGTAATAAAATATAGAGGTAAAGTTTTCCACCCACGAAAATTCGATCGCTAATTCATCTTAAAACTTTTTAGAGTGAACAGGTGCTCAAGCGTCGAGGCGAATATCGTTTGTAAATTTTTCTTGTATGTAATTTTTTTGTAGTGTCGACATTAGTTTCTAGATAATTTGCTTTTGTCATGGAGATTGTGTTCATCATGATCTAACGTTATTGTGCTCTTGTGTCATGAAGCACGTAATTACCATACCATGTAAACAAAACCTTGCAGAAATAACAGAAAACATTATGTTGGATGGCTTAATAAGAGCGAAGGTTCTAAAGAAACGTTTAATGCGGCTAGTTGATATTAAGTTGTTTGTAGAAAGAAAAATAAACCGTTTGAACTTAGAAAACCTAAAGATTTACGAGTGGTTAGAGTAGTGTTGTTTAAATCTGAAAGTCATAGAATCAGACTTAAGTGGACAGTGGTGGCCTTAAGTAAACTGTGGTGTCTAAAACAACTACTATCTTAGTCTTTCAATTACATGCGCGTTGTTGAGGTAGTAACTGTTCTTTGCGAACCCGGTAGGAAAAAAAAAGTATTTTATTGAGTATTTAACTTGATGTACACTGCATTGTACCTACTTGTTTTAGAAAATGTAAATAAAAGAGCGGAAGCAGTCGGCTCCCTAATTACAGTTTTAATTAGAGTCTATTTTTTCTCATTACATCAATTAATAGAGTCGCTTAACACCACAATGAGAGTGTTGGTTTTCGCACACTCGCCTTTATTCTTCACATTATGTTAATGCTAATTGTCCGCATTACAATAGTGTCGAGTTGCCCGGATAAGTTTATCAATTAGCACTGGCTGTACAAGAACAAGATAAAAAGAATAGTTTTTTGTCGCGTAAAGAAAGGGAGGTCATTACACTATTGTATAAGAGCACATGTCCGACTTGTTAACTCACTTGGGGTTCATTGTATACAACGTAAAATTATGTGAGTAATCCTCACATTTATAATTAGATAAAGTAAATTTGGAAGCGCCTTGATACTTTGCCAGAAGCAAAAAAATACATGCGTGAACTTGAAGTAAGCATTCTCATAAAATATGAGTGTTGTAATTTGTGAGTTGTTTATTTGTTTGTGTAACTTTCAATACAGTAGCGGTTGTTGTTTTATTAGTAAGCTGTTTAATCGCTTCAAATGCACTTTTTCAATTTTTGCAGTGATGTTTCACCGACACCCCCCGTGAACCAGGGCTCGCCAGTGCGGTGCGCCCGCAGCAGAATGGACAGCCCGAAGAAGTCACCACACAGCAGCCCTGTCTCGGCGGACAGGGCGATCTTGAAGGTGCATTTTCCCAACGGAGGGTTCAACATCATCAAATATGGGGACGCGGTCGATGTGAAAGGGATCATCTCGACGGTCACCGAGAGACTGTCGATAGGAGAGAGATACTACACGGGACTTTATGCCATGAGGTTGTGCAGGCCTTCGACGGGAGAGGTAGGTTTTGATAGATGAAGTCTAAGTGGTGTGAGGACTGTGCACTTATAACCCGAATTTTTCATAGTGGTAGGCGGCGGGAAAGTGGTGTTTACCTTGTGTCAGTGTTGACTTCTAATCGCAATTATCTAAGATTGTTAGATATTTATAAAAGGTTGTGCAAATTAAGTAGTAGACCTACTTTGGTCTAATGAGATAGGGGTATCACGTCTATGTGCTTAATAAGAATAAATAGACATAAGTGGTTTTGTAGAAATTTACGTGGAGTTTTTGCTCTATAAATCAGAATATCACTTGGAATACGCTTGAAAGATCATCAAAATTGACATTGAAGGATTGCCAATCCTTTTATAAAAACTTGCTGTAATTTTGGCAAAAATTGACCTTGAATGAAGGATCAAGTAACTCTAATTTCTTTGTATCTAATGAGTTGATCAGTGTCATTTAAATACTAATCATGTAAAACAACTACATTGCTGACGTTTTGATATTTATTTAAAAGTGTCCTTTTGCTACAAAAATTTATTTGCTTTATATTTACTGAAGTTTGAAGTTTAGTGTGCTTAAAGTGTTTGTTTTTACTAATTTCAGCGAAATTTCAAGGGATCAAATATACAGCGTGGTCAACAATTACGTGGAACTGTCACCCGACCGTACTTATTACTGTTTGCAAAATTCACATACTTGATAGTGACATTTGATTTTAATCAAAATGTTAATGATTATTATTATTAAAATATTATAACCTAACTCATCGGCGATTATCTTTGATAGTTTCATTTCCAACTCAAACATTCAAATTAACGGTAATCTGACAAGAGGAAAATTTTATCAAAGACAAATCTTCAAAAATCTGTAGCTGTTTTTGATTGTGTTTTTTATTGTTTTCTCGGTAGTAATAGTGTTATTTATGTTACCTTCATATGTATATTCGGATATTCTTAATTAATGTTTTGTTGTACATGTTTTTAACATAAAAGTCAAAAGAAAATTAACGTTTTTATTTTGTTGAATATATTTTATTTTAGTGTCAGTATTCTGTTTATTTTTATTTAAACTGCATTTAAAAGGTTTTAATATGCATTCTCTTTTCGTAAAAGAAGAGAATTAAAAAATAATAACAACGTTTGAAAAAAAATCAGTTGATTTAATCGCGATTTAAATCAAATGACTTAAATCGGGCCAACCTTGCTTAAAAGTGACAACAACAAGCATTTGGATCGGGTTCGACAGTAGTAGTGCATGAAAAATATCTCACAATTTATTAATTCTGTTACCAACTCAAACAGTATTTGTTGATCACGCTTTACTATAAGTTTATATCGGCTGTTATATTAAAAAGCCATCTAGTAGGATTTCTTTATAAGACTTTCAATTGAACACCCGTGCTGTAGTCCGGCGAATCAATTGTACGGAAGCACACATTTTATAGGTCAATTTTAAGTATTTATTTATAAACAGATTTATGCTCAACTTAGTACATAATTAAATTTTATAGTGTTCCGGAGGCAAAAATTAAGTTGAAAGTTCCAAATGAAAAATTTAAAAAAGCGATCCGGTAATTTTCTCTTGAAAAAAAAAAATAACAATGCCATTTCAAAAAGTGTTTTATTGTAAGTGCTATCATGCTTGATAACTAAATTTAAAGAAAACATTTTGAAAATATTTGCAAAAGCTGCACTATTATTTTTGATATTTTGTAGAAAATACCAACTTTAAATTGTCACAGCAAATGAGCAAAATTTTGGGTGCAGATTTAAAAATTGTTGGAACTTGATTTGAAATAAGGTTTAGTCAGTATTTTAAAATGGTTAACTATTTTATTCGTTGAATTTGCACGAAAATTTTAACATAAAAATTTACAGGTAACAAATAGAAAACTTTTTTAACAGAAAATTTTGAAATGCGGTTAACCATAAAATGAAAGTCGGACTCTATTTATTACATACAAATTTAACCCTAACCCTGTTACGAGTTTCATTTCTGTATTTTCATTAATAAAATCGTTACATAAATGAACCATGATTTCTTCTAACACGGAATATTTAAGGTAAAAGTTCTTCTTTATGGCCTTGATACACAAATAACTGTTTTAAAATAACCGTTGCGAGATATTTTGAATTATTTTTGTTAAAAAAAAATATATTTATGTACTTGGGTTGATAATTCACAAAAAACTGAATTTATAAATTGGTAATTGAAAATAAAGAATCCATTGGAAGTGGTATGAATCATACTTTATTCGTCACTGTAGTGAACTCGAGCAAATTACTTCCAGCTTCACTTTGAATATGTAAATTTGACTTTTAAAAAATCTCCTCGATCCTAACAGTAACAGTATTGTAAAGTAAAGAATAGGCTAGTGTCGTTGAACGAAACAAATAAAAACAAAACATACACTATATTACACCTATCAGATACAACTGGCAACATCGAGCATTCTTGAAATAATAGTTTTCGTTGTGTTTGCATAAATGCAGGCTATGTAATTAACAATGTCAATTTCTAGTTATTACTTTACTTGCTAAAACTGCTCAAGTAAAGTCTATGTACTACTTCCTATATACTTATACATCAAGTCGAATCAACAGGTGGCCCTTTTTATTTTGACGCACTTTTTATAAAATATATTTAAGTGATAGGTTAACTTGACCTTTTGGCCCGTACTATTGAAGTTCTTTGCTCGGGTCATGATTAAAGGTCGATTAAAGTTTAACATTCAAAAGTTGTCCAAGCATAATAACGTATTTAAGTCGATTAAAAATTCTCCACAATAATTCCAAGAAGCAAATAAGCTCTATACTTACAGGGAACTTAGATTTACATTGAAAGAGCATTAACATAGAGCAGGTGTGGTGTAAAAGAGGGGTTTTGTTGTTTCTACATTTTATTGCTCGAGGAGGAAGATAATTATTTCGACATTTAAGGTACGCTTCCATTGATTAGCATCGGTCGCATAGACTCGGCGGAATTATGTAGATCTTAATAAGAAGTGGGATTAAGATGAGTAGATTATGGATTTTAAATTTCAAGGTCTTAGTTACCGGTAATGTATAAATTTAGAACCCAAAACACCGCAGCTCTGTGCGATACCGATAAGTCCACTCCTGCTTTTATACATTATTTTATATGTCATAGATTTTTTTGTACAGTAAATAAAAAATAAATATTTACTGTATCTTTTCGGGATTTATCACTTACTTAAGAAACGAACCAATATTTGAATCTAAAGATAAACCTCACAAAGCGAAACGATTTTTTAGCAGTTTCATTCACCACTAGATTATACCATTTCAACAATAATAAAAATTTTAACCAAAATATTTAACAAAACGTTTTGGAGTGAATTCTTTTCTAACAACAATAATAACAAGCAAAACTATTAATTTAATGAATATTTCCCGTTGTAAAAGGTATTAGCTCCGCTAGCGACACCAACTACTAAAACAATGCAAACCACTCTCGATTTTAATCCAGATAGTTTCTCCTAAACCGTCCATCATCTGTATTGGTATGTGGGCTCAAAATATCAAAGCAACTCAGGCTGCTTTCTGTGACAGGTTTATTGGTTACATCAGGATTTGACGATGAAGCAAGTTCAGGAGAAGTATTTAGCGAAGCATCCGAACTCGGAGTGGAGATATGACCTCAGGATTCGATATTTACCGACTAGTCTTCAAGATTTATGTGATAAAGACAAGGTCACGTTTCATTATTATTACGACCAGGTAATTAGAAGGCATTCGACTATTTTTATAAATCTATATATTATTTACGAGTGCGTGACTATTGTGTAATGCTTGCAACATTTTCTTCCTACTCGAGATCATTGTCGGCCTTGTAGTGAGCAGTAGTAGCATTGGATCTGTTTATACTTGCACGTTTTCAACGTAATTAAAAAAAACCAAAATTATTATTGCTCGGTGACGGGGCTTTGTTATATAGTCCAATATTTTCAAATTCTCGAGATCCATTTTTTACGGCAAAAGTTGAAAATACAGTAAACCCTCGTTACTTCGAACTCGGTTAAGACAAACACCTCGTTATTACGAACTGGAAGAGAAGGCCCAAACAGTCCACTTATAAAACGAATGCAACTTTATTCGGTTTACACGAAATTCGGTTAATACGAAACTCGAACAACTTTTTCGGCCCCAAGTTATAATTCTCATATAAAATCACTCGGTTAACGCGAACAAAAAGTGCAAACTCTTTGCATCGTGCTCAAATACGATTTACTTTATCTTAGTGGGTATCTAGTAAGCACAACGCAAAAGTATGTCTCTGTGTGGTTTACCGAGTTGTAATCAGTTCGTTCTTATTGTTCAATGTGCTAACGTCCAAAATGGCATAGCAAAAACCAAAACGGGGCCAAAAATCCATTAATATTAAAACGAAAATGCAAACTGCAGTAGCTAAAAGTTCACCATTCCAAAATCTACATAGTCCACCATTCTGAAAACCCGATCTCAAATAAAAAAAAAAATAGTGTTGGGATCATTTGCGTCAAATTTTTTCACAAAGTTGTTTAGGAAAATTGATCCATGAAATTTTATATGTATGTAGTACTAGTATTATTATGTTCAAAATTTGGTTATGTATTGTTAGAAATCTAATACGAAGAAAATTCAGCTTAAATAAGTTGTTTTTGTTATATTTGTGTTAAAATGTCAAAAAGTGATTTTCGGTTATGGCGAATTCGGTTAACACGAATTGGTCAAGATCATGGTCCCGACGGGTTCGTGTTAACGAGGGTTTACTGTATATAGTTTGTGTTTATGTGTTTAAGTTTCATCTGTTTTCCAATTTGAAATTTTCTAGGTTTGCATTTAACTTAAATCTTACTATACTAGTTTGTAGCATTTTTAAATTTCTTTAGTGAATAATCTCTCGTCTTAGAAATACTTATACATCCCCTTATAGAGCCGTCACTGCTCATAACGTAGTCACATGCCAACTTTTGCCTCGGAAATTACGATCCGCGTTCTGGTTTTTGCGTCTTTGTAACGACTTCTTCATTGTTCTCATTATACTTCCTTGAAAATTTCTCCATTAAAACTAAAAGAGACGTACGATCTACTTATTTTTTGCAATTTGGAAGTGGACGGTAATTATTCCGTTGTAATTGCCATGCCCGAGCTTACATTTTTCATTTTTTAATTGCATCGTTACCCACGTTTCTGCTCTAATTTGCGTGTTAACGACAAATCAATGAAATGTTTCATACTGACGCTCAATTTATCCGAAAATTGTTTTTTTTTTTAAGGTGAAAAACGACTACCTCTCTGATTGCAACATACGAATAGAACAAGACGTTGTAGTGCAACTGTGCTGTTTAGAAATACGTAGATACTTCAAAGAGACGTTTCCCAATCCCCTGGACAAAAAGTCAAACTTTGAATACTTAGAACGCGAAATCGGAATGAATAGATTCATCCCTAATCGAATTTTAAGTACAATGAAACCGAAATCGTTGCGAAAGAGCATCCAGAGCCAGTTCAAAAAATACGTTAATATGACGGATATAGAATGTATGTTCAAATTTTTAGAAACGTTGATGCTGTATTATAAATTCGACCAAGAGAGGTTCCGGGTAGATTTAGGAAGCAGCTGGTCAGTTCCTGTCGAATTAGTCATTGGACCAGATCTTGGAATTTCTTACACTAATGTACAGACGTCGAGTACGACAAAGATAGCTAATTTCGATCAGATCCAAGCCATTCAAACCCTAGTCAGTGATTGCGAGGAGCACAATAAAGCAACGTTGCAGCTTCGAGTAGCTGGTGCACAAGAGATTTTATTTTTTACCTGTCCTAATCTAGAAACATCCGAAAGTCTTGCGGATTTAATAGATGGGTACTGTAGGCTACACTCGGGAAGTCAAACTTCTATTTGGAATAAAAAAGGTAGGTAAATAAGAGACGTCATTATCTCATGTTTATTCAGATTGTTATCAACGGAATGTAATAGTGTAGTAAAATATGTAGCGTGTCGTCGTTAGTTGTTCCTCTTGTTTTGTAACTATTGCTTTTATTTTACAAGCCACTGTTTGGAAACAGTTTCCTTGTCCTTGTAAAGGTTAGTATTAGATTCTAGGAGCTATGTAGATACCCTTAACCTAGAAAAATATGAATCATGACGAACATTTTCTGTTTCCAGATTCACATCCTTCCAAACATAAAAGTAGAAATTCTGATAATACAACCGGAACTATGCTTTCAGAAGATTATGCCGAAATTGTGGATGAAGAAGGCGATTATTCGACACCTGCAAGTGAGTAAAAGTAAACAGTGGGTGCTCAGTGTGTACATTGTCACATTCCAGCCAAAAGTTACGAGTTACAACGGGATCAGATTCATCTGGGAGAAATATTAGGTGAAGGACAGTTTGGGGACGTCCACAAAGGAACCTTTAAGTCTAAAGACGGTAACCTTGTACCCGTGGCTGTGAAGACTTGTAAAAGAGAGGCTGATTTAAACACAACAGAAAAATTTCTGGAGGAAGCTTGTATGTACATTTTCTTATCACGCTCTTCGTTACTCATTTCAAATTCCAGATATAATGCAGAAATTTGACCATCAACACATCATCAAACTCATCGGGGTGTGCTCCCAGAGCCCGGTGTGGATCGTGATGGAGTTGGCAAAACTGGGAGAACTACGAGCATATTTGCAAAACAACAAAGACGAACTTGATTTGGCGACTTTATTACTCTATGCATTCCAGCTTTCTACAGCTTTAAGTTATTTAGAATCTAAGAAATTTGTACATAGAGATATAGCAGCTAGAAACGTACTAGTGAGTTCGCATACTTGCGTTAAATTAGCCGATTTTGGATTGTCTCGCTCAATGAGCGACGATCAAAGCTACTACAAAGCTTCAAAAGGGAAGCTACCCATTAAATGGATGAGCCCTGAGAGTATAAACTTTCGACGCTTTACTACAGCGAGTGATGTCTGGATGTTTGGTAATATTGTTTGGTATTGAAGGCACCTTAATGTGTATTCGTTGTTATTTCAGGTGTGTGTATGTGGGAGATATTAATGTTAGGTGTGAAACCATTCCAAGGAGTTAAAAATAACGAAGTTTTGACGAAAATCGAAAACGGAGAACGATTAGCTCTGCCTCCAAACTGTCCTCCAAGGTTGTACTCATTGATGTCGCAATGTTGGTCATACGAACCTAGTAAAAGGCCGAGTTTTAAGGAGGTTAAAGAATTGCTAAAGTAAGTACATTAGTGTCAACTCATATTACAAACTTTTGCGAGACTTCGACTTAAAAACGCTTATACTAGGTCAAGTTTGCAAAATCTTTGTTGTTTATTAATCTTATCATAATGCATACAGCAACATTGGTCGTCATGGTCTCGTCACAGTTAATTGCGTCTTATGTGTATTCGTTGAGAGGGACGAAGTTTTTTGCCTACTTTTTCTTCAAGTAAGTTCAATATAAAGTAAGGGATTAAATATAAGATTTTTTTGCGATCGGTTGCAATAGGCGTCGGCATTTTCGATCATATCTTCACGGATTTATATAGTAAGAACCACAGGTAATAAAACTGTTATTTGCAGAAACTTAAACAAAATATTAAATGGAACAATGTTTTTAATTCATTATTAAAGGGCGCCAGAAAAAATTATACAGAACCTGGAAAAATTGGCACTTGAATTGAAAGTTAGTTTTTAATTTATTATATTGTATTTCAACGTTAGCATTAAGTGTTCATCTTAAATTTAAAAATTCTACACTGTTATAAAAGTGTCAGCTTTTTTTATTTTATTTCTCGATGTTACTAACAAATATTGCTTTACAACGAGTTTTTCGAAGTGAGTAAGAAATCTTCATTGACGGTTATGATACTAACGAAAGTTGTGCAGAAATGAATTATTAGAACAAAATCCAGCGCTTTGCACTTTAAATGAATCGTTTTTTATTTCCATTCAACTTAAAAAAAACAAAAAAAAATGAAAACAGCAGTGTATATTATCACTAACGTGTTATTTATTACAGTGTACACTCTTTGTTTACGACTTAATGATGTCTGTTCTTCTGTATTTTCTCCGCGGTGGAAATTACGTTCAATCACCTAAAAATATATTTTTTTAATACTAACTCAGAATAACAGTTTATTTACAAAGAGTCTGTTTACATATCACGGTAGAATTTATTTAAAGCAGACAAGTACGGGTTTTTTGGGTGGGGTTTCCAGACTAATTTCAGTCAATAAAGGGTTTGTCCACTTTGACCGTACGCTTATCCCTTGGAAAGAATAGCTGCAGAGCCCTTGTGCAGGACAAAAATATTCGCCCTCTTGAAGGTACCCTGTGTGGACCGGGTCAGGTTTAATGGCCCTTGGTTTCAGCGCACCTTTTTACTTCAAAGCGTAAGCTAAGCTATTTGTTTGTTAGGAATATCGCATAGATGGAAAACGCTAACCAGAATTTACTCAATCATCCCTACCAACAGTGTGATGCCATCCCCCAAAATTCATAGCAAGTAGGAATTCAATTTTATGTACTTGTTTATGAATCCGTCTTGAAAATTTCCCAGAGCCATCCAAATTTTTGCAAAAAATCAAAATTGTCCAGCAATCGTTTATACTAATATATGCGAAAACACGATTTGTGTATAAATTTGTGATGAAATTTACGAAAAACTCTGATAAATTCGTAGGAGGTTGGGTAATTTTATGACACCGTGTTGGCTACCCTAGTCTGACTTTATTCTGTCAAAATGGTTTGAATGATTTCAAAATATTAACGTTTAATGCAACTTACAAAAGTAGTGAATTTTACAACTAATTATATTAATTATTAAAATAAGGTAAGTAACATTTAATATAATTAAATACCTAGAACGTCTAGACTATGGTTCCAAAGCTGCAGTTTATTCCTCATTGAAACTCGTTATTTGGGTGTATAATAATATTTTTTAAATTACCTTTGAAGTAAATTCAGAATTGGTATCCTAAATTATTCATATTGTATTTGAATTAACAGACTTGACATTTGACACCTTGTTGCCAACATAATGTTCGTTAGTTTTTTCCGTAAATATTTATTCTAAATTACTAAATTTTATAATAAGGCAACACGAAAATTATGGTATTACTCAGTCAATACAAAATCCATAGTTACATTGTAGACATTTACGAACGCGGCAAGTGGTTCCATGAGTTTTTCATAACATTTTCAAATAGCAAAACTCACTAGAAATATAGGCATATCTTTGCCCTTTATCAATGCGTACATATTTTTACAGCAATTATTAATTCGTTTCTTATCATAAGTAGGGAACAAGTGCAGTTCAGACCAAATATAAACAAGTTAACGGAGTCTATTTTCGTAACATAATGCGTTCGAATCATAGATGGTTGTGGAGTATGGGTGATTAAAGTATGACACATTAATGAATTCAGAAAAACAAGCTCTACAAGAATCCCCAAAAAATATACCTATAGAGTGTCATTAAAAAAAGTTGGATGTCGTAGACAAACACAAAACATATATAGGGTGTCAAATCACATTGCACTATTTCTGGTGTTTCTATATTTGCTTTAATGTACATAGGTTGTCACAAAAAGAGTTCCCAAAATCATTTTTTTTAATTTTTGCTAGAAGCGAGATTTGTTCGACTGTACGTCAAGGACGAAGGAAGTCCTGTCGAAATAACCAAATTTTGAACCACGAAAAGTTATCAATTTTTCGTTGTTTTATTACAGACCCTAAACGGGTATTTAAACACTGGTCCTTCGAGTCGGATACTCAAGTTATCAAAAAAAAAATTAAAACATGACTTTGCGAGTGAGTGACGTGCTTTCCACGCCTGGCCTTAGAAAAACAGTGACACCAGCATCGAACCAAGGAAGCAGTGAGGAGCGCTTAGAGACACTTCATCATTTAAAATAACGACAGATGTATTGATAAATTTCGTTGATTCAAGATCTTGTTGTAGAATGATCGATAAAGGTGGATTGAAACTGAGGATGGTGTAAGAGTCCTCAAACCCGGCTCGGTGCGCACATGGTCGCTTAAAGAGGGCCAATATTGTTGGCCTGAATAACTGCCGGTCTAGGGGTGTGCGTCCGTGTTTATGAAACCTTCAGTCGTTGACCCCTGACCCAAAGAGATGCGACACCAAAAGTACCCGCAAAAGATCTAAATTTGGTTACAAATTAACTCTTTTAAAATTTAAAGATATGACGAATTTATTATTATTATTATATTATCCTAGAATCTTTCATGGAGTTCACTTGGGAGAACGGGCAGTATATATAAGGTCTTTCCTAATTTCCTTGGATAACTAGCAGTATGGTCTCTGTGGCAGCAAATAAATTTGCTCGACCTAGTGGAGAATCTTTTCTTATTGATTCTTATTAGGATGATAATACGAGATACTCAGTGCGGATTTCCGATTACAGTTGTAATGTCTAGCAGAAAGTCGTCCACAGAAAGATTAATGATCTGTGGATGTAAAAACAAGAACTGCACTTAGATATCATAAAACTTTTCTACATTCCATACAAGTACTGGGGTCTGTCTTTCGTGTGCAGTTCATCTTGGATTGTGTCAATCAGAAACGAGGATACTCCACAAGTATTTTATCGTGTTTTTTTTTTTCTGAAAAAGCGCTGCTCCGAAGACGTGGCAGCTCGCATCATAATCGAATTCAGTTTACTTGAGGATAGGTTCGCTGCTTTACGCCATCATTAAGTTGTTGAAGTGTAGGTAGGGCGTGTCCTCTATCTCAGACTAAGTATTCGCATTAGTCCAGAGCGTTTGCTAGTGAACTTGGGGTACTATTTGTATATCGTACAAACTAGGAGAGATTATAGTAGAAGGTTGATAATTTCGTTTCGTTTGGAACGTGGATCCACGGTTTGTCATGTTCTGTGGTTCCTAGTTTAAACACAGCGTTGACTTTAGGTAAACTTGTGCTGGTAGGACACACTGGTTACAGTTAGAGAGAGTCGATGTCGAAAGAGCTGGTACATTTTTGCCGCAAAAAGATTGTTGTCCTAAGTTAAAAAATCATTTAATCTTCCATTCTCGACGTTTGAAACTTATAGGCTGGTCTCTCGTGAGTGAAGAGTTGCGTTTAGAATCTGAATGTCCATATTCGCTTTTAACTGCCATGGACGTATCAAACATCAGATACTTCGTTCTCGAAAAGGTATCTGGTCGTTGAAACAAGGACCGTAATTGTTAGTGATTCCTGAAACAAGATTATACTTCATCGTTATCTCTGGAAATACCATTAGTGGAGTTGGTATGCGGTGCTCATTGCCGACACCTTTATTATCTTGAGTTCATAGGGCATTGTCCTTATGTGTGATTTTATCGGCTATTGGTATAACGTAACTTAACCACACCACCAGGTCTATGCATTCTTTGGAGGAGTAGTAGACCGCTCTTAGTTTCCTGTGTTTATGACAGGAATCGTGATAATAAGTCAAAAACGTATCCTTGATCTAAGTTTTTAATGGGTTGTATGTAATTATACCTCGAAGTTCCGCAAAAATTTGTACAACTCAAGTACTCGTCATTTGAAACACAAGGTAAACTATAATTGATTTTTAGCGAAATATTACTAGAAGAAAGATCAGCAGTACAGGAAACACTTCGCCGAGAAAATCGAAGAGTGGCTGCCATGTCCTGGGGTCCCAACGACGATTTTCCTCCACCGCCAAAGCCCTCGCGGTACCCAATGCAAGGTAAATCGATGCAAACTATCCCCGTAATTTTAAATATCTCAGTGTAGCCATAGCAAGCACTTTACTAATTTCAAAAAGGAGGCGTACACGGCTTTGTATGATGTTTTTATCTTTACAAAAGTTGAATAAAGTTTGTGTTTTGTATTGTTTGTTCGTGTCGTGGAATAAAGTTAGAGCACTTTTCTTTCCAAACTTCTTGAATGTAATTTCTTTGTTGAAATTAAATTCGAAGGAAACGTGGTTATTACATAGCGACTTCGTTGTTATATTGCAGCTGTTGACTCAACTTCTTTGGCATCCTTAGAAACAATGGCTCCAGGACCTCAGACCTATATTGTAGCGCAAAATCCGGAAGTGCTGGCTCATCTAATGAAAGAGAACGAAACACGGGGTCTGAGTCCAGCGGCGTACACGACACCAGCATCGGTATTTAATACAGTAGCCGTAGATTTCGAAAAAGTGGAAGATGTTCACGAACCGATCCTTAAAACATGCCCTATTCCCATCCAGAATTTGAAGAAGCTCGATCCTGAGGTTCCAGAGAGCCATCCCGACGCGATCTACTTGAAAAAACTGGGCACGCTCGAAAGAACGCCCTCTAGAACCAGCACGGGAAGCACCACACCGAAAATGGGCTCTCTCGAACGCAAAGTCAGCGATAGCGAGAACATCTCGCCTAACATGAACTCTCTAGAGCGAAACACTCACTTGATTCACAGCTCGCATAGCAGCTTAGACAAATCGGGAATGTTCAGCCCGAAGCTGGGTTCTCTCGAACGAAAATCTAAAAGTAGTTCTCCCAAGATGGGTTCTTTGGAGCGGGCAAACAGTAACTCCGCGGCTTTTTCTCCCAAAATGGGCTCTCTGGAACGCAACAAGCAGTCCCAGCAAATCATTTACGATCCCGATTCTATCCCGAGTTATCATCCAGATCCTGTGGTTTACCAGTTTTCTGACAAATCTAAAGAGATGCAACACTTTGAAGAATGTATTTATGATTTTGGGGGGGCCGACGTTAAAAGTTGCGCCCATAAACAGCCGTTCTTCATACAAAAGGCAGTCGATAACAAGTTACAAGAACAAAAACAGGTTCGAGTCAAGCATGGCTTGATTTCGAATGATGTGTGTTTTTATTAGTTTTAGTGAAACCTTAGTTTTGTGTTTCTTGTTTATTATTGGTATTAACGCATGGCATTGCATGACTAAAATAATGATGCACGGTTGTTTTTGTAATAGTTTTCTCTAAATTTTGTTGTAGGCAGCGGCATGTTGCACCTTTTTGATTTTTTTTTTTGCGTATAGTTTTATTATTTTGAGGGATGAGTTTTTAAATAATTCACTTTTAGGCGGGTTCGTCGCCTCAACAGTCTCTTTATGGAGACCTCCTCTTAGATAAAGCTAGATTTACTAACCAGTCTAACTTTAATCATAAAGTTTTGGAAGAAAGACTGCGCCAACAGCAGAAAGAATCAGAAGAAGATTCGCGATGGTTGGCAGAGACGGAAACTAATTTGGTAATTTCGAATTACGTGTTCTAGAAATTTCTTTATGTCTCCATGCTTTCAGAAGAAGCGTTTAAGTATTGCTACACCTTCAACAGAGGTCGATACACTTCACAGTAATTCTCAGTCATTAAATTCACTCCCCACTAGTCCCAATTACTCCAGCACGGCAACACAACAGTTGTCGAGTAGTTTAGCTAATATGTCGTTTAGCGGAAATGGCCGACAAAGTAGTACGGGCTCTCAGTGTAGTAGCAAGAGTCACTCGCCTTCAGGATCTATTACTAATACCATGACGACAGTAGGCAAAACTGAACGTAGCCTTACACCCAATAGTGGATCAGAAAGTGGGGATGCTGGAAAACCAAAGGTAAGGCATCAAACTTGTGTCACATTTCAATATACTGTGAATTAAATTTCCGGAGGGCGTAGCAGCTGCAAAAAACCGCATCTTTCTATACCTCAGGCCGTAAGAGGATTAAATTTTTATATCAACGTAATTACACAGCTTGGTTTTGATGACAATTTAACAATCAAATAAATTTCTCGCGTCGACGTTTCATAACTCGTAGAATATGAAAAAGTAGGCTTTCGTTTCCGTCTTGGTAATTTGATTAAACAGATGATTTCCAGACTCTACAGAACATATTGTGAAATTTTAGGAGTATTTTAAAAATATCGAATATAGATGATAAAATGCCAATCAAAGTTTGCCCGATCATCTATACCAAAAATTTGATGACGTCTTCTCAAAATTTTCACAAGTTAAATGTGACAAATAATTATATAGTATTATAGTGGTGTAAAAATCTACTTTTAAAATTGTCCATCAATATAATATTTTTCTATGGTTGTGATGTGCAGCAGAACTGTAATCAATTTGTTTGAACTTGTATGGAATGTAAAATAATTTCTAATCGCATAGAAATAAACTGTGGTTTAATCTTGTCGAGACAGACCCTAATTAAACGGTCTAATGAACACAAAAGCAGTATTTAATATCACATAAAGTGTATCCTCTTTGTAGATGGCAACTCCGACTCCCACTGCTGATTTAGACCGAACAAACGACAAAGTCTACGACTGTACAACCCAAGTAGTCAAAGCTGTGATGTCTCTTTCCCAAGGAGTTCAGCAGTCGCACGCTGATCAGTATCTGGATTTAGTGCGAAGAGTAGGTTTAGAGTTACGCGGACTTTTAGCCAGTGTGGATGAAATAGTGAACTTTTTTCCAACATCAGCTCAAAGAGAAGTTGAAATGGCCCATAAAGTTCTCTCTAAAGATATGGGCGAGTTAGTCAGTGCCATGAAACTGGCGCAGCATTATAGTCAAACTACTCTAGATAATGAATACAGAAAGTAAATATGCCGTAAATCCTGGTGAGGATGTTTTATCTGAGCCGAGTGTGTTGCAGGGGAATGCTAGCTGCTGCGCATGTGCTTGCGATGGATTCGAAGAATCTTCTAGACGTAGTGGACACAATTAGGATGCGTTATCCGCAGTTTAATAAGCATTTGTTTAAAGTAGATGACCCGATTCCTGAATCCGAGTCGACCGAGGTCGAACCTCAAGAAAAACAAGACGTACCTAAAGCAGCAGAAGCTGCATCGACATATCCCAATTTACCAAGTCCTGTCGCTGTTTCTTGTAGTGTCCTGCCGGTTTATACTAATTATGTCCAATCAGCAGCCACGTCTTCTAATTTAAGTACAAACCAAGTTGACAGTTAGTTTAATCATAAAATTATGGACTAGGTAGCTTGCCAGGTTTTCATAAGCATGGTCAAAGTTATTTATTGTGAATGGTGTTCTTTTCTTGTATCATTGAAAAGTAAATTTTTTGTACGATTCATTTCTTCAGCTCAAGTTAGGTTAATGCGCTTTTAAAGTGAAACTAAATCAACTGCTGTCTTGGAGTCTTGCATTTCGAGGTAGGTTTATATTTGTGGCTCAAATCGAGATATATTTTTATAAAACTTCATATTAAAAATATGATTTTTATGGTTTTCTAGTGTGATATGAGGAGGAAGAAATTGTTTATGAAAATCTCGCTATAGATTTAGTTTATTAAATACACCTTACAACAAGAAGAAATAGTATAACTTGTTTTATCCATCATGCATTTTTGAAGCCTTTTCTTGTTATCGTAGAGGGCTTTCATTGCACACAGTATTACATACAAGTAATTGATGCTTAAAAGTGCGTCTTCATATTTAAAACAGTACCCTCCCTCCAATTAAATTATATTAATTTGTATATTATTTTTAGTTTTTTATTATTCTTTTTTTAAAGACTGCATAGTTTATCTAATTTTAATTGTAGGCTTAATAGTGGCATTTCTATGAATTTTTAAGTAAAATTTTATAATTGATTGTAAAAAATATAGCTATGATATTGAAAATTTTGAGAACAGTATAATTAAATTATATTAATAACATTGGAAATATGTATTGGTAAAAAACGATTTGATGTGAATCCTTTATGGTAAATGACTTTTGTATATTATTTTGTTGTATTATTTGTATATTTGTATTTGTTTTGTTTTTCAGCTTTTCAATAAAGTTATAAGAGTTTCAACTGTGTTTTGATGCGTCATAAAAATAAATAGTGAATGTCCGAGGTATTATTTATTTATAAAAAAAAAAGATTTTTCACTTTTGGTAAGAATTTCACATTTTTTGTTTTTTAACCAGGGAAAAGTAAAAAGTAAGTGATGAATAGAAAAGAATTACTTAAAAGTAATTGGTAATGAATTTACATCGCCTTCATTTATAGGGTTCAATCTTTAATGGGTATAAACCTAAGAAAGTAAATTATTACAGATTACAGTAGGTAGGGCAAAGTAAGAAAGTGGTCATAAAATACAACAAGGATAGTAGTTGCAGTGCAATCAAAAAAATAACAGGTAGCAAAATCAGCTCATATTCATCAAATAAAATCAATGCTCTGTAATAGTAAGAAAAGGGACTCCATCATCACGAAAGGGCCAAAAGGATCAATAATACATAACATAAAATCGCTAAAATCCAATGTCTTATAAGGAGAACGAGAATTAAACGCAGATCCTCTCCATATTTCGTAGAGCGGAAAAAGTGAGAACAGGAATGGAATACTATAGTCTAGTATTTTGTTCAAAAGTAAAAAAGACTAGAGGTTCATTTATATTTAATACCTTAGTAGATACACATTTGTTTTTAATGTAACAGTTGTTTATTATGAGCTTCTGTTCTCCATATTTTTACAATTTTAAATTTTAAAAAAGAAAATAAAAGTTTTGTATGTGGAATATTGTGGTGCAACCATCAACAAAGTGATTTCCGCCTGGTCTGCGTATCAATATGTACATTTTTGATCCATTTTCCGATTTGCCTAAATTTCAGGTTCTGTTTTTCCGTTTTATAAAATTTACGGTCCATTTTTTTGTTTAATTTCTTTTCGTTACAAATTAACAGAGATGCATTATGTATGAATTAAGCAAATTGGCAAATTATTATTTTATTATTGAATGACATCATTTTCACGTCTTTGTTACGTCAGCACTTTTACCACATATGAATGTAAACCAATCACGTCTTATTAACGTGTTTCATAATTGATTCAATTTTTAGCACAGAAAATTCTCTTCGTTTGTCTGTGCATACATTCGTGTGACAAAAATTTACAACATGGGTCCTTAAGCGTCACCCCATTATACATCAACAGGTTGGTAATTTTTTCTAGACGGTGCGGCGTAAAAATGAAATAAGATTAGAAAAAATATATATACACATCGAATTAAGTGCTCGTTAAGAGCGGATGTGACCACATTGGCGTCAGTAAGAATTAAATGTCACGTCGCTGATAGAGACGCCAAAATTTTGATCAGCTTTAAAACTACAGAAGTAACCTCTGTGAGGGTGGAAGTGAAATGTGTGTTGCCTAATTTAAATTCCATTACTGATCGATTCGTTCCAACTTTTTGTTTTATAATTTCCTGTTCTCGCGTTTACGAGTTATTTAAAGATGTTGGTCGTGTTTAGAAAAATAGTCCAAATTTTGGCAATTTATTTCATGTGGCTCGATATACTCGTAATAATAAAATAAATAAAATTTAATAATAATTTGGTAATCATTTGTGTATTGATTTACAACACGAAATTTATTATAATGTATTTTGTGATACTGGTGTGGTTTAGGACTCTGTGTTGAGTTTTTAGCCGAAACGTCCAGAATTTTGTAAAAAAAATCAAAATCATTAAGCAACATTTTGTTTTAAAGTTATAATAAGCATAATAAATTTTTACTTAAAAGATATTTGCTTATCTCCTCCACAAAATTGATGACGTCAGCTTAAAATTTTGCCGAATAAATTTTATTCAAAATGTGCAAAATATGATGAGATTTTACTTGTGATTTATCATTGCATTCATATTTTTTAGTTTTACTTAAACAGGTGGCTCAAAAATTGATGAATGAGTCACTTTATCTTATTGATTAAATCAGGAACGGCTCACTCCAGTTTCCCAGAAAATTTTGGGAATACAATACTGTTATTTTTAGTATTACACTTCACCAATCCAAGTTGATCTACATGCCCTTGTAAAAATGTTGGTGATGTTGCCACAAAATTGTGTAAAGAAAAAACTCAACTCACAAATGCTGGAGATGTTTCATTGTACTTCAGGAACGAGGGAAGTTCTGTCGAAATAACTTTCAACCATTTTTTTTTGCTTTTTATTTCGATACCATAAGATGTTACCAAAAGATAAAGAATGGTTTAGATATAGTTTTTTATTCTGTATAACTTTTGTATTTAGCGTTGATCTAAAATAATTAGGGGAGAGAATATTTTCAACAAAGACTTCAAATATATATAGACCGGCGATAGAACGACAAAGCTGAAGCTAACTGGTCGCCATTTTGGATGTGATCGAAACCGCGGGAAGTTTAAAATCGTATACGATCGACTTCATATAAATAGTGAGTTTGCAAAAGAATTATAATAACGATGGCATTAGAACTGCAATCTTTTAATTAGAACCAGTATTTGCAGGTATAATGATAAATACAATATTTATAGAGACTTAAGGAAAATACATTATAATTATACCGTATAAACTACAAAAATGACCTTCCAATTTTGTATGTCCACCGATTGTACATTGCACATAGAAAAAAGCACTGAAAATGTATATATATAGGATTAAAGAAAACAAATACTTATAATTTAAATATTTGATTGTCCCTTAAACAAAACTAATTTATGAAATTTCTGCCGTACGTTTACACCCCTTTCTTGTTCTGTTTCTAAAAAACATAAGTGGCGTAAACGTAGGCTTAAATATTTTTTTAAAATAGTTTTGATTGAGGTATTGAAATGAGATTCACTAACATCTGATGTTATCTCATTTACCTCAAAAAAGTGATCATACTTTTTACAAAAATCAAAATCTATGCTTTTTAATGTTGTAATAAAAAGTTTTGTTATGACATTTTTGTCATTTAGTCCCACTTGTTTCAATGATTTTTCCGCATGATGACAAATCATTTTTCTTAATGTGGAGGGTGTTGTTAAAGCATTGTGGTTATCTTCAACTAAAACCAATCCTGTTTTCCGAGTAGGATCTGTCTCCACAATGAGATCAACACACTCATCACAAAGGATTTTTTTCTTAATGTCCCTTGCACAGAAACCTGCAATGTAATTTACCACATGAATTGAATATTCATCTGATAATGGGTCTCCAACAGGAGAATTTGGAATTTCTTGGAGTATTTGCTTCGTCCATTTCACTTGGCATAACTTGACAATTTCCTAATAAATTGGGGCTAATTTTACCAACAATGCATTTTCGGTAGAAACTCCTGAACTCTAGGCATGTTGGATTGTCATTATTTCTTGCACAAAAAATAATTACATTAAAATTAAATTTTTATATATAAAAAAAAATACTATATTACAAATAAAATTTTATGCTATTCATTAGTAATAATATGCTGTATTCAGAGACTAATTCTATTTTGACAAATATTGAAGTACATAATTTACATAAACCGTTATAATTATAAGGTTTTTTAACTCATGCTCTCAGGTACACATACGTGAATACACAAGTTTTCTACATACCTGTACGTTTCCTAATTCCACTAAAAAACTTCTCCAGATGATCCTGACTTAGATTTCTACAAAGTATATATTTTAAATGGGGCTCCTTTGCCCAAACCATTTCTTCTGCCATAGACAATACGCTGTAGCAATTCAGATATATACATATTTGAAGTCTTTGATTTTCAAATTTCTGTTTTTACATGTAAAATCCCTAGTTTCACAAACGATTCCACACCCGGTATATAAGACAGGATGTTGGAAATAAATTTTAATTATTAAAAATCACACACCTTCACCGTTAAATTGAGTCGTGTATGTGAATAATATAAAAGCTTTTTCTATAACCTCAATAAAATATTAGAAGTAACGGTAGTGGCACTATTTAAGCAGGTCTTCGTTTCCTATTTTCGGTGGAGAAGTGCGGACTGACACTCCGTGCCAGACCAATGGTAAACAAGTGACCAGAGTGTGTTTTCGTAAGATAATGCGTTCAATCAAAGGCAGTGGCGGAGTATGAGTGATTAAAATATGATACATTAATGAATTCAGCAAACAAGCTCTACAAAAATCTCTAAAAAAATACAAACATTCATATTTTTACTTCCCGAGGGTTAAGTTACTTTTTTATGTATACAAATTATCGTAAATAAAATTTCGCGAAATCAAATTTCGTATTTTTTCAAAGAAGCCGAATTAATTGCACTGTACTTCAAGGGCGAGGAAAGTATTGTCGAAATAACCTTAACCCTTAATAATTCATAACTTTTGAGCTTAATAATGAAAGCTGACTAGATTACAATTGTAAAACGCTCAACTTTCTCACAATAGAGTTCTCTCACAAGCACTAGCTGAAACTAAAAAGAAATACTTATTCTCATGTGAATGAGCATTCTTAGAACCCTGCTACATCTAGTTAATACACGCACATAATTACTTTTAATTTAAAAAGTTCATTGTGCTGATAATGACGTGCTAAAGTTAACTGAATCCACGGAGATGTCTGTTTAACAATTATGCTTAGTGCGATTTCAGTCGCTGAGCTGCCGGTATAAACTGCGAACTTAAAGAAAACTTTCAGTTTGATTAATAATTCCGAGCGGAGTAACCCCTGAACCAGAAATTTTTAAATTTCTATAATATTTTAGCCGACTTTTAAAGTGCGACTAAACGCCACTTTTTACATCAACCTAATAAATGAAGAATGTCACGTTCAGGGTCAATGAAAAAGGATAAATAGCATCATAAATCTTGCAATAAAATGGGTCACAATTTTCTAATTGAAGTTGCTCCTACACTACTCGTGTTTCTACAATATAGTAATCGAAAATGTCTGTAACAAGCGTTGTGTTGTTTCACGTGCTTTTATGCATAACGTGCATTCAAGGTAAATATACCATCGTTTCTGGTTATTGGTTGTATTTTGGCGAATAATAGGACGTATGGGTATTGGAGGCACCGAACAGGATTGGGGTTACATCACGGTCCGTCCGAACGCCCATATGTTCTGGTGGTTGTACTACACCACGTATAATAACGTTTCTAATTACACAGACAGACCATTAATCATCTGGCTGCAAGGTGAGCTCATTAACGTCAAACAATTAAGGGACTATTAGATACCTATACTCTTCCAGGTGGTCCAGGCATGGCATCAAGCGGTTACGGGAATTTTGTTGAAGTTGGACCTTTGGATCCTCTGTTTGAAAAGCGACAAGGCTCGTTTGTCGATGATTTTAATGTACTGTTCGTTGATAATCCCGTTGGAGTTGGTTATAGCTTTACTTCAGACAATGAAACGAAACTAGTGACGAATGGGGATGAAATTGGCGAGGATTTATACAACTTTTTCAAGGAGTTTATAACTAAGGAACATCCAGAGTTTAAAACCGTTCCAATGTATGTTTTTGGAGAATCTTACGGAGGGAAGATGGCTACTGAATTTGTTTATAAGTTATCGAAGGTAAAAGTCTTATATATCATCATGTAGCGAAGGTAGACTGTGAAAACAAATGTAAAGACGTGCAGTATAGCAGCATAATTTCACATCACAACGTAATTAATTGTTTACTGACGCTTTTACATATATACATACCTACTAGATATGTCCAGGAAAATATAATACGTTGAAGTCGTAGTTAAAGAAAGAATACAAAGTACATATATTATAAAATGAGAAATGAAACTCGCTTATACCTCACAAGTACAGAATTTTGTGGTAGGAGCCGAAGGCGAGTGTTGCAGTTACAGTTAACTGAGAAATGAATTTTATCTGTATGTGTTCGTCGTATTTAATAATATAATCGTAAGAAAGAATATTTTTCATTTCCTTGAATGTTTCTGAAGGTTGCAATAATGTAAAAGATTCTAAAAAAACGTAACAATATCCAAGATATTTCAGTATAAAATTTGGCCTCTTATAAACTATTTAACACTACATGCTTACTTTAAAGAACATATATTTTAGGAAAAAATCGTGAATCAACAGTTGTCATATACAGAGTGAGTGCGGTGCTCTACATTTCATTAATAATTCGAGATACAACAAAAAGTTAAATATCAAAGTTGTAGGATACTTTGAGGACTATATTCTCAGATTATTTTTAACTATACATATTTAGTGTTCTGTTTTTAAAGTGTAACACACAACTTAGGTTTTTTTTAAGGAAACACTATATATTTACACATTCTCATTACCCTCCTGTTAGGCTGTATAACTACAGTTTATTCCTGAAATTCAGTTATTCAAATTTTTTTTAAATTTTTTGGCAATGGTTTATAAAAAAGTCGCAATAGAGTTATTTAAAAAATTTTTCTTATAATATTTTGTGGAAGGATAAATAATTAAATAATGGTCCACACTTTCTCGTGGTATTAAAAAAATTATAAAACTTTACAATTTCCAAATATCGATATATTTCAGTTTTTTCAGATAGAACACATCATATTTCATTAGTTATTAGTTATTATTGTATCTTACTCTATTTTTTTGTCCTCATTCTTCTAATACGTCATTGTGTCCCTTAAGAAAGTAAAAGATCTCAGTAATTAACAACTTTGAATATGCATGCAAAGTACTTAACAAAAAAAGAGAACAAAAAAATAGAATAAAACGTAGAAATAAATATCGATATTTGAAAATTGTAATAATTTTTTTTAACACTCGGTATAAGGAAATTTCATTTCAGTTACAGCACAACAAAGCGATTACCTTTATTTATTCTTCTACAAACCGGAATGGGACTATTTGGCGCCGCCGACTTGGCGCGGCCAACTTGGCGCGGCCGACTTGGCGCGAGCCATTTTGGCGCAAAGCCAACTTGGCGCAGGGACACTTTGGCGCAAGCCATCTTGGCGCGAGTACGTCGGTATATAATATAAAAAATATTTATTGTTCGTACTTTGGTTGGCACCCTGTTATTTATGCTGAGTGTAGGCAACCAAATACACATTTTCATTCGCACAAATTCCAATAACTAAATGATCCACAGAGCAAGAAGTTCCACGTTTAGGAGTATGTTTATAATGGGGTGCAGGGCGCGAAGCGCCCGTGTGTCCATTAAAAAGTCGACATTACCCCTCCCCGCGTTGGAGACTATAAAAATTAAGTTATGCTAACAACGGGTGCAATTGTTGTATATTTATATCTATTTTTCTTGGTGCAAGTTCATTCGCGCCAAGATGGCTCGCGCCAAGATGGCTTGCGCCAAAGTGTCCCTGCGCCAAAGTGTCCTTGCGCCAAAATGTCTCGCGCCAAGTCGGCCGCGCCAAGTTGGCCGCGCCAAGTCGGCCGCGCCGAATTGTCCTAGACCGTCTACAAACTATTGTAACACAGATGTTAAAAACAACCCTACTGCGAACCTTTCCATTGCAAAAAAATTCAAGAAAATTGGAATAACGTGGCAATATCGCATCGCTATTTCAAAAATAAACTGTAGTTGTAAAGCTTGAGGAAAAGCCAATCAAAATATTTAAATATATATAGGACGTTTCATTAAAAAAAAAACGAAGTTATGCGGTGCGCGTAGGAAACAGAACACTTTGTATAGTTAAAATAATTTTAGAATAATGAGATATCAAGGCAGGCGCGATTATACAGTATGTCCACGGATTGAGTCCACAAAAGGAAAAAAAAACTTTATTTTTTTATTTTTAATTTTACAAAAAAAATATGTAAAAAGAATAAAAATTGTTCCTTAATTCAAAATTCTACTACTCGATTAACCCACACCCCTTTCAACACATAGTTCAACTCGTAATTATTTAATTTAATTCTTTCCTCTTGTGACTTCAGTCCCGGGACATGCTGTATATGAAACTGTTGTTATAATAAACTGCTGCCTCTAACAATATTCACTGATTACAGACAAATTTTAAAATGCTTACCTATGTCCATAGTTTTATTTTTTTTAGGACAAATTATCATAAAAACTTTAAATTGGATGTCAAAATTATAATTCGTGTCGTACTTTTATTTGATCCGATCTCGGTACGTGGAAATCAATAAACAGCAATGAATTAAACTAATTAAACAAATGTCAGTATGTCATCAAGTTGTCACTATCCGTATTATGTGATAATGAGTGTGATGTGGCATGAAATCCAAATACACCTACAAATCCCAATCAGCGGGATTTCAAAGTAGTGTCCCTAGGCATCGAATTAATCGCACAATACTGACGATTCCAAAATCTAGCAGAACATCTAAATTTTCATAACCTTGCAATTAAATTGTTACAGTAAAAGACAGGGTGGGCGGGCGGTACAAGTAGTTGCTGAAATAAGACTGAGTTTGGCAAATGACATACCCTCTAAGAAAAGAGAGGGTCGGTGGGCGGGGCTTTTATTTTCTTTTTCAACAACACGTTTAAGTAACATTACAAATAATAAAAAAAAAAAAACGTAATTATGAAAACATTAACCAAAACCAGTTATTGTTCCAGTTATTATTTTATTTTTTAAAAAAGTAACACATTGATCCAAACAGTATTCTCTCATTTAGAAAATTGTTTGACACAGCTCGTCCTCATACGGTCTCAGGGTCCGCCTCGGCTTCAAATTTACTCGCTCTCTCGAAACGGCATTTTCTCGCCTAGTGACACAAATATAATTATTGATGTAGATATGTACACAGAACTTTTTCGCATGGTTTAATTAAAAATCTAAAATTCTACACTCTTTGTATTTTTTCCTTAATAACTGAATTGAAAAATATGAGTACAGGGTTAAGGTTTGCGGTCGGCAAATGTTAGGTACAATAATGGTAATGTAATTAATTACGTAAAAATAAATAAGTAAATAATACATAAAAATGTAACAAGTGAAAATAATTGTGTACTCTTTATAGGAGAGAAATCAATCGTAAATGTTAGTCTCTCTTGATGATTTTTGTAACAGAATAAGAATTATATGCACTTCCGTGCAAGCTATACAGTTTTTATTTATGATTGTGGCAATATTTTATAGCGTGGAACTGGTTAATTTTTGATTGTTCTTATTTATTGAATCTTATTAAATAATCCTGTTAAATTACTATGCGGATCCACAAGTGTATGCTGCTCTATTGCACACAGCTGCAGAAGTGATAATAGTAGCCCACGTTGCAGTTTTGCATATCTTTTTACTTTCAATCAGTGACAAGCCATTGAAGTTTAAAACGTAGCTTTTTAATTCTAAAGACGAGGGTTTCAAGTTCGTCGAATGACAGTGGGTGCTTTGAGACGGCCGCAAAGGTGACCTAATTTATTTATTGTCGAAGATCTGAAGCGTCGCATAAATTAATTAACTCATTATTTTATAATTTCTGTCCCTCCTTTATTGGTTTTTAAATTTGCTACTAACTAATTCAAACTTTGTTTAGTGAGTAATCAACGTTTTAAATTCTTTATACTGCACTCTTAGAAGTTTTGTTTTCACAGCTTTTTTTTTTTAATTTTCCTTCTAGATGGTATATGCACGGTTTCAAGAATAATCATTCATTATTAAAACATAAAATGAAACAAAGTAAAAAATCTTGAAACAAAAATAGCTTTGGCAATTAAGATTAAGCATTAATTTTGAAACCGCGCCGACAACTTACGCAATTTTTTAAATCTCGTGTTTGTAAACAGAAAGAAAAAAGTAGCAAGGGAAAGCTGTGTAATTTGAAAGGTCTTGCTTTAGGCGATGCGTACATATCCCCACTGGACTATTTAAACCATTATGCTCCTTTAGCTTTAAACTTGGTAAGTTATTTTTAATAACAGCTTCAAATTTGCGTTTTTGCAATGAAATGTTGACTAAGGTAATCCGGTAAAGTCTTGTAATTTATTTGATATTCTTTATAATTGAGTTTTCTGCTTGAAAAGGGATTAGTCGATAAGCGAGGCTTCACACGAATTGATGAATTGGCCAAACAAATTCAAGTTTTAATTAACAAAAAGGAATTCAAAAAGGCATCGGATATTGAAAATGTGATCACTGATTTGTTAGCTTTTGAAACGTTTGGATTCGATTTGAACAATTTTCTTGCTAAGATGAATTCAACAAAATTGCCTAGTGAGTCGTTTCTTACTTTTATCGTCGATTTGAATTTTGAATAATAAATTTATTGAAGAGGTTTGGGATTACATGAACTTATTAGAGAATGTCATGAACAACAAAGTCAAAGAAGCATTGAACATCGAATTTAATGTTACTTGGAAGTTTTTTGAAAACGATTTGTACGATTCTTTAAAAGGAGACCTAATTAAAAGCGTTACTCATAAAGGTAAGGAAAGCGCGATCGTTTGATCTTTTGTTGATTTTTTTGATTTTTAGTGGAAGCTCTCTTGAATAACACTGACGTGAAAATAATTGTTTATAACGGAATACTTGACTTTCTAGTCAATACTGCTGGTATGTATTAAAAGCGTAATATTAATGATTGAATTAACGTTGATGACACGGACAAGTAGTTAACATTCGAAATTCTAATGAGGACAGAGGAGTTGACATAATATCAGATGACAAAGCGCTCAGTGCTATCGTTTAAGGATAAATCGGGTCATTGCCGTTGTTATAATTCAGTAGTAAACGGAAAGTGTAATAATTTTAAATGAATCTGCAAGGTAAGGAAGGAAGACAATAAAGTGCACCTCAGTAAATTAAATCATTTGAATTTTTTCGCTCGATAAATGAACTGTTCTTTGTCCAGATAAATCAATATCAGAGGTAGCTATATACAACGTGCGATGAACACAAGTCTTCTGGATTTTCAGCTCACTTTATTATTTCCCGTTGAAAGCCTGAAATAATGAGAAAGACAGCTTATCCGTGTAGTGCCAACTTGAGGACAATTTGTGCCTATCGCATCTCATTTTCTTTATTTATTGTGTTAGATAAAAAAATGATTATGTTCAATTTTTTAAACAGTTGGTATTATACATACGAAATGCCATTTCAAGCTAACTGCATAGTTGGAATGGTAAACGAGAGAATTGTTAAAGTGGGCAATTATTTTGGTTTAGTCGTTGCATCTTTAGCTGCATTAAAAAAATTGGTCGAAGGTTGTTTAGACAAAATTGTCATCGCCCCGAATTACAGTTCAATCCAGCTTCTTCGAATACTCATACATTCTGATTTTGCGAAATTTTATCTGTTTTATGATAACCGCTATTTGTGAAAAAATATAGACAAAAGTTATTCATTTTACCGCTGTGCCGTTTGGTCGTTACGGTCAGGTTGCTCTTAACTTGTTATGAAATGTTATTATATGATTTGGATTATTTCTGGGAAAATTTGGAGGCCTTTGATGAAACCTCAAGGCGGATTCATAAATCACACGTATAGGAGTATGTTATTTTATAAAACATAATACCATTTAGTAAGCCCAATTTTGAGATGACCTCATCGCATTTTTGATCCACATTTCAACCAACAAGTTATAAAATATTTTTTATACTTGCTTTTATTAACCAATCTTTTAGTCATACGTTACTATTGAATAAAATATTATTTTTTGTATACATTTGACGCACCGGTTATTTGCGTATAAAATTCACTCAGGTAAAACAGCTTTTTCACAAACAGGTGAATTCACCCATGTTGACAAAAAACTCATTCATAATTTATACCTCATCAATGAACAAGTATTATTCTATATAAGAACATGGAACAACAAATTGGAGGGATTTTATACCCCCTCCTTTGGTGCTTTGCCTAAGCAGGTTTACTAGGCTATATTCATTTTTAGCCGTGTAATGTGGCGCTTAATTTTGCAGGGAATTACTCCTAAAAAAATTTGGAATGGTGTGGTAATTTTTAATTATAGAACACACAGAGTTCCACAGTCCATTTTAGCTTTCAAAGACAATTTTGTAAAATTTTTGCAACGTCAGTTTTAATTGTTGATCCTTTTAAAATTCAATAACAATTGACGACATGTGGTTAAAAAAAATAACCTTCGATCTCTCCGTGTACGATAACACTATAACGTTTATTACCCCTAAAAGACCGAAAATATAAAATTATAAAAATTGTCGACCCACGCTTTTTGATTTTACGTCATTAGTGGTTGATAATTACGAGTTTATATTACCCATTCTATAATCGACTGTATTTAGAAGAAAACGCTTTGAACTTAATTCCATTTTAATTTGGCCTAGTCAGAAGCAAATAATATTTTGCCACAAAGGTGAATACTGAATATAGACGAAACAATTTTTTTGTTTTAGAGTCTAGACAGTTTTTTATTTGTAGTGAGATTTTGAATATTATTAATTATTTCTATAACGATATAATTTCTACGTTAATTTGAAAATGTTCGTCGTACCCTCGTTTTTATAATAATATATTTCTGAGTTTTACTCATCCACAAATTATTGACACATCGGAAATATGCCTCCTCAAAGCTTATTAATATTAATTCGGTTATTTGCTATACTTTTTCATTAAACAAAATTTAATTAATAATTTGTGTCGACATGTTTTCAATTTTAAATGAAAATGCCTGAAGCACTTTTTTTATAAAGTTTCGCAGATATTAATTAAACAGTGAAAAACCGAAAAATGGCCCATCGGCTATGCCAAGAAAATAATTATTAATCTATAAAGAATCATTAAATTGACAGGGACGATAGCATGGTTGGACAACTTAAACTGGGGAGGCAGGGAAAGATGGCTCAACACATCACAAACTCCCTTGGTTGTGGACGAAGTAACGGAAGGGTATTTTAAAAGGGTTGACAACTTGGTGTTTTATGCTGTACTGAGGGCAGGACACAGTGTAGGTATTAGTTACAGTATCAATATGGTGCTTATCGTTTTTGCTTTGTCGATGTTAATGGGAGAATAAAATTCGTGTTGTATGTTTCAGGTTCCTATTGACAATTTGCCTGTCGTAAATGAAATCCTACAACTCGAATTACTGGATTGACCAGACGTTACTTTATGTTCCTTCGTAGACAAAGTAAATACAATGTTTCCACAATGCTTAAGATCGAAGCGCCAATGAATAATCCAGCTGTTCCACCAATAGAAACTACAAAGTAACTAACTTAGGAATTTTTGCACAAAGAAATATATTCGCAACCCACCGACTAAGTCCATTGTTGTTCTTACAACGATGCGTTTGAATCTCGACGATGGTAGTGATTGTAACTTAATAGAAATTTCACCCCGTGAACTTTTCACTCTAGAATATAGCAATAAACTTTTAGTTTTGATATGTCAGTTCTCTCTTTACCCTTTTGTATCTGACACAATTTTATATTCGGGCTCGATGCAAGAGGGTAAGCAATCACAAACTAATCCTGGCTTGTCAAATCCTTTAGCGTGAAGTCTATTTACTGTCTCTGAAATGCGAAACGTTGGAACATTTACCTTCATAATTTGCTTACTTGTTACCAAAGTTGTCAGTTAAACAGTTCAGACCTTCTATGTCGCAGTATTTTCCTCGATCTATAAAATTACCTCGGAAAGTTATCTTAAACGACTCTTAAATTAGTTTACGTACTCATAACTGGCATTAGGTGATGGGTGCAGTTGCATAAATCAATATGAGCGTTAGCATGGCACTGCACGACGCAAGTGGAATAACTATAAAACTCGTGAACAATTAAATCGTCGGGCTTTTCTTCCGGAAACCTGCATTTTCTTTTATCAAACGGTAATAGTCTCACGTTTTCGTCATTTTCTATTTCTATTACCTAAGGACGATAATAAATGTTAAAACATCACTGCAATCTAATGATGACCTACATTTATTGAAATATTGTAAGTTTCTCCCAGCATGACGTCTTTACGTTGGTCGGGATCAGAATTTATAAAAGGGACGTCTTCTCGGGCGTGGAAATATAGCTACAATTAATAAAAAAAAAATCAAGTAGACTTAAAATAATATAAAACATGCTAAATGAATACGTGGCAGACATACTGATGGTAAAGTGTTGAAGTACTTGCATACAGGATGATTTTGAAATGTGTACATTAAAAAAAAATATGGAATAGCTCACAATAAGAATTACTGCACTATGTCTAGAAAAAAATATTTGATATTAATGTGGATCGAGCGGTTTTAAAACGCTCATGGTATCTTCAAGTTTCAAACTCACGATCGTGGCCGTGATAGGACTGAAAGAATACTGCAAGCTGAAGAACAAATTTTGGAACGCGTCGAAGAAGAGCCCGACATCAGCACTCGCCGACTTGCAGCTGAAGTTGGAATTTCACGGTTTGTAGTGAAAGAACAAGGTATACATCCATACCACGTTCAAAAAGTGCAAGCTTTGGAGCCCGCTGATTTTCCACGTCGTCTAGTTTACTGCGAATGGTTGTTACAGTAATGCCATGAACGCCCTAACTTTTTAAATTGCATACTGTTTACGGATCAAGCAGGATTAACTCGCAATGCTGTTTTCAACAGTCACAACACTCACACATTTGAACCGATGAAAATTCACACATAAGAAGTACGATTTCAACGACAGTTTTCCATAAATGTATGGGTCAGTATCCTAAATGACCGCGTATAGTTGGACGTTATGTTTTACCAAACAGACTGAACGCACTGGTATTTGAATGATGGAGCACCACCACATTCTCTTAGGCTAGACGGTTAAATAACCATTTTCCTAACCAGTGGGTCGGTAGAAACGGCCCAGTAGCTTGGCCTCCGCGTTCACCCGATTTCAATACGTGTGATTTTTTGTTTGTGGAGTTGGGAGAAACAGTTAATTTATGGAAATCTGCAGTGTTAAGAATTTGACACCAAACCTTTAATTTCAAGTTGGGGATTTCTAATGTTTTAATTTAACTAAAGTACAAGCACGACTAATAATTTTCTTGCTTTCGATTTGCTGTTGTGGTCGTTTATTTCGATTTTATTTACGACACAGTTAAAATTCTTTCTTTCTCATCAGTCACCACTTCATCACACACACTTGTCGGATATTCAGGCCATCGCTTATTGAAAATTGATTCCCGATAATAAATAGGTGCAATATTATGAGCCAAGTGGGTGCAACTTCGTGAAACAAATGTGTGTATTGTGCTGACTAAGACCACAAATAACTCGTGCCTACGTCGAAGTTTCGAAAAAAAACTTGAAGTAGCACAAAGTACGAATACTGTAATTTTAAACTTTGTCATGCGATACTCACTCGTACATCCTCAATAGTTTCTACAAAAAGTTCGCCGGGCCCGGTTTTTCTGTTAGAGTAAAAGAAAAAATCATCTTCTCTGCGCGCTGGTTTTCTAAAAAATCGTGTCTAACTAATTAAGCACTTGTTTGTTCATGACGGCTTATACTTTGTATGCAATGAATTAAATGAAAAGCACACGCCATATTCAGTTTCCAAAGGTAAAAATTTCTCGCAACAATCAAAAGAGATTTCATTCCATTTACATCTGGATAAAAGTTGGGAACATTTCTTTCTGAACTGAAAATAATTACTAAAGTAAAATAACACGGGACTTCAAATACATACTTTTTGCACAGTTTCAGCGAAATTCAATTTCTCACAAGTGGTACATGGCGTGTGACAAGAATAACAGCTGCCAGTAAAAAATATTAAATCCGCAATAAACTGCTGGATTGCTTCAACCTCTTCTTGATCCCTGAATAAACTTTTTGGTTCCGATTCGGTTATTAATTGAGAAATTTATTTACCCGTTCCATTCTACTTCCGAACTGGTAATTTCACAAAGGGTGACCGCCGGAAAAGAAGTGTTCCAGTTAAGGTAGGTGGTTTCGGTAACAAAGCTGATGGCGTTATCCGTGTATGATTTATACGAAGCTTTGAACACCAATATCATTGCATAAAAACTGAGAATAAATATCACCATCCAGGAAAATCTGGTTGGATTTATTTTTTAATGACGGCATTTTTAACGTGTGTGCAAATTTTACCTGATTAAGAAATGTCTGTTTTCGTCGGCCACATATTTTAAACCGTGCAAGGTTGTATTCTTACCGTAGTATTTGACTGTGTTGAAATACATTTTTACCTCACTTCATAGAAGCACATTAACTATTCGGTATTACTCTCGGTTTTACTGCTTTGATATAATGTAAATCGTTTTTGTTTACAAAGATAAAGAGAGATTAATATCTATTATAAAGTCACCATTATTATGATTTCGATGGTGTAATGGAACATAATATTCGAATTGTAAACTACATGCTATCTCCAAAAGCTTTATTAGATTCCATTAACGATTTTAAGTTCACAGGTAATGGAACGAAAATATGAGCCATTCAGTTCGCTTAAATCTATGTATGATATGCTAGTCACCTCAAATTAGTTTTCAGAAGCAACTTTTATCCTAGGTTCGTTTAGCATAATACTAAATTGAATACTAAATACAACTCCTACCATGGAAACAAAGTTATCACCGTATGACTAATGACCATTCTTCCTGTTTCCAAGGTACAAATTGTATTCGTTCCATTCATAATTTTAAATTTCGTGACGTGTCAAGTTGTCGTCACAGATACAAGCATTTTTGTACAGTAAAACTTGGGTATAATCAGAGATTATATCGAACTCAAAACAGTTTAGTACTTATGGCCTTTAAAATTGATATTTTGTGAGGTAAATCTTGACGTTTGACTAACACCCTACCGAAAATAGGTTGATAGTCTTATTACAACTTACTTTAGATGAAGTTCTTGAAATGACGGAAGTTACCAGTAATAGATTATTATTATTAATATAGTCAATCGTAATTTATACAGAAATTTCATATCTTTCTGTGTAGTCAAATCAAAAACTATTCATTATAATTTGCTTAAATACCGTCGAATTCTGATAATGTTGCCACTCCTAGAACTAAATGGTGAACTTATACCATTCTTAACAAAATTTGGTGTTTATTTTTTTTTATTACGTGACAAAATTGCTCCAAAAATTTTTCAAAACTGTCAAATAACTGAATTTTCTGTTTCAAGAACAATCCCATCCAGTTTTCCTCATCTGAACATTTAATATAACTCCATCGATACTTTTGATAGTAAAATAAAATGTCGTGTTTACTCGCAGACACTCATGAATCTTTTTCCAGAAATTTGATAGCAAATCAAACCTGTAGCTATTTTTTTTCCCGAGCATAGTCTAAAGAAGTATAGTAATCGAGTCCATTCGACGAATGAACACTTGTATGTTTTCTCGACGTTCCATGACCCCTAGAGTACGAAAAAGGTAATCTCTCGTTTCCGTCTGTGTGTCTGGCGTCTGTGTTGATTTCTATGAGACACGTAATCTTCGAAAATGGACCGATCGTTGTCAAATTTTTGATGAATATAATGCAGATGGTTAAATGTTAACCAAAATTTGGCTGATCATCCCCACCAACAATTTGATGACCTCATTTCAAAGAATTCTATATTTACATACTTTATCTCTGTCAAATTTTATTTCAGAATTGCTTATACAAGTGATTTAAAAAAATAATTAATGTGTTAATCAATTTATGTTACGGATTAAATGAGGAACTGCAGAATCGAATGAAATGTTCTAGACGCTTCAAGGTTATCGCAAACATGGTAAATTTTTAATCAAAACATCTGTGTAACCTTCTTTTTCTTGTATAGATAAAATAAATTTAATAAAATTAATCATTCTTTGATTTTTTATTGATCAAATTAAGAACGAGTCACTATATTTTCTCGAATATGTGAGAATACGCACATCATTATTTAATAACGATTAAATAAGAATTATAATAATCATATTCAGAGCACTTTGTCCGATTGTGGTTTAATTAACAATTTTAATCCTCTCTTCTGAGGCGACAAACACATTCAAAGCAAACAAATTTCTACGTGACATTCTTCCGATGTATAAACATAAATATTTAAAATTAAACCTTGTTATTATTGCTGAGGCCATTTTTCCAGTTGGTTATCCGGATTGAAAATAACCCCATCTGCATGAACACAACTGATTCTAAATTTTATTACAATTTTATTCTAGAGTTTAACGGCTGTGAATGTGAATTGGGGGTTAAAAAATAACTCTCGCACGCACTGCATGCACGTGTTTTGTCTTAGGTATTCAATTCCACCAAGAATTTTCCACATGAATGTTGAATGTAGTAGGTGAATTTCACTTTCAGAAATTTTCTACAAAAAAAAACTCATGTGGAAGATGTTTCTTCATATGTCCTTCAACGACGGTTTTAACTTATAACGTAGGCAAGAAACAAGTAGGTGATCAGTTTTTCCAGAGGATTTTACAAATAATCAATCACAAGAGTTTCATTGCAGAATTATGGCTGCCGATTTTTTTCATAAATATATTTTATTATAATAATTCACAATATTCACGTCTTTTATCCTAAAGAAGTAGTTGAGTTGACCGTTTCTTGTCGTAACACCATGCTGTCCAAAATTTAATTTTTTAGTAAATTCTATAATAAAGTAGTTAATAGATAATGTTACAACTAAAGTTTTGAGAAAGACTGAGTCCGAAACGGCTTTTTTTCCAAAATATATAACGACGTAATTATACGTTTAATTTCCTTTATAAAAACATAAAATAAAAATAAAGAACTTTAACTTGCCAAGTGAAATAGAAGTGAAACTTTATGGTATAAAATTATATAGCGCTTCTGATAAAACGCCATTGAAGCACATTATCAGAAAAGTAAAAGCCACCTCTTCGATCTTTAATTTGTTTCATTGAATACAAATCCAGTTGTGTTTTTAATAAATAAGGTTTAATTAAAACAAACGTTACTTTCCTGTCCAATAAAAACTGAAGTAAACTAATAGCTAGGTGTATTATACAGGGTTTCTATAAATGATGATAGCGTCCAAGTAGGTCATGAAAAGGTGCCGCCTCTCAGTTTTGGACCTAAAATTAAATGTCCAAGGACGCAGACAAAATAACACACGCATCTGTATAACTGGTTGCCTAAATGCTTCATATTTAAAAAAAATAAAACTAATTCATTACAATAACAAGAAAGAAATTCATTGCGGTTAAACATCACAGTAAATGTTGAAAATGTTCACCACTTTGTTCAAGGCACATATTCACTCTCTTTTTAATTTCAAAAATGTTCCATAATCCTTTCGTCAATGCCCATGGTTCAATTTCATATTGCAACAAGAATTCCTGACTACTGAGGAAATTTTGCCAAAGATGTTTGCGGATGGTGCTCAAGTCGTCTCAAATCATTAACAACTTCCTCAGGTACTGAAGGTCTTCTGTGAGATTTCCCTTTGTTGACACTGCCAGTTCGAATAAATCTGTTGAATACGTCTCTCATGTGAGCCTCTAACGATGTTTCTTGAATTATTAAATCACGATATTTGGCCAGATATTGTTGCTTACAACCGGTTACAGAATATACACATTCTTTGTTTAGGAATATCCCATTGCGATAACAAGACATAACAATGAAAGTGTCTTGTTCAACAGAAAAATTTTGAAAACGACTGTTTTGTTGTTTTGAGCTCGGATCAACGAGAATCACTGTAATTCACACTTGAAAAACGTTAAAACAATAAAAAGGGCGACTTTAAATGACAGGTTACAAATGATATTCATGACAAGTGAGAATTGTCATAATGAGGCATAATTTCAGCGAAGCGGGATTTTTGAAATCTATGACTAACTACACCCTTAGAATCATTTATAAAAACCCTGTATAATAACGGGCGAAAAAATAAGCTGTAGTTTATTTGTTGTGTTTCCCTACAACATACGTTCCAAAAAAGAAAAAAACACGATGGCGAACTAGTAACTAGAAATTTTTTTATCGCTTGATACAATATAACTATAAAATAAACATATAAAAACATTATTATTATTGGAAAATTCTAAACAAGAAATATATAAATTAATTTATTATACTTTTATAAAGTGACCAATGAATGTACAACGCTTAATTGTGCTAAAAGTTAGGTATTTTTTTAAGATAAATTTAGAACAAACTATTTAAGACAGATTTACAAAACAGTGTCGATTGCAACTGATCGCCCTTAACACATGTGGACTCTTTTATCACAGAATGGATTGTTCCGAGCGAACGTTGATAAATTCCAAACGACGTAAGCTTGCTGTCTGACAGGCTACCGTTGTCACTGTTGCCACGTCGTTTCCAGATTCACCAATGACCGTATAAAAAAAAATTGTGAATACTTCCTTCATTAATGCTTTATGTTGCTGGGAGCGAAATTTTACTTGACCTTGGATTTCTTGCGAACCCCATTAATTGCAAAATAAATTGACTTTTTGTACTAAAATTAACCTTTCTAAGATTTCTCAAAACAAAGACTTATAGAGTTGGCTGTGAGGTCAGTTGTATAGGTGGTAACATGACATATAATTCTGTCAGCTGACAAAAAAATTGAGGGTAATGGTGTCACCTAAAACTTGACGCCAACTTTGATTCAATATATTTTCGATCGCACGGCCTTTTGTATGAATATTTTTCGTATGACATACATTAAAAGACGGCCTGTAATGCCCAAAACATAAATCAACGGAGTTTTGCTTTATTCTGTTACTGGCAGAAATCGATAGATTTAAATCGCATTTTTTTATGTTTTGAATTGAACATTTTAAAATGACGCTCAATATGTCTGTGTATAGAGACCTCCAAAATCATCATAATACGGAATCAAAAATAATTGATGCGGTTCTTTGTTGCAATAAGGCTCCGGAAATAGTTCATGGTAAGCACGTTGATATCCTTTTCAAATAAAAAATGTATATTAATTTGTAGTTATTTAGATCTCAAAATACTCCGTTGCGGTAAATTGCTCTAGATATTTAATTGTTAAATTCCATAAATTGCCCCGGCGCCTCCACCATTAATTGTAATCGATTGGTAGCGTAACATTATCTAGGATTATTTTGGAATATTTGCACAAATATACGAGTATCTGCAGACAGTGTCTTTTAAGATTTCTTTTTGTACTTTTTGGCTTGAAACAAGAAACATGAGAAAGTATGCTACATTTAATTTTTGTGAAGTGTGATCAATAAAAA